ACGTCAACGGTTTTTGTGGACGTATCTGTTTAAAAAAACTAGTGTTCTCGAATAGTTGAATTTAAATATTTTAAATAGTTTTTTCTTTGTTCTTTGTATTTTTTTTGCTTCCGACGACGGAAAGAGATAAACTTTCCGAAACGTTAAGTATTTTTTTGTTCGTTAGGCAAATTTGTATATCTGTAAACCTAATATTGATAAGCAGTTTCCGTTTAGATTAACGCAGCGGTGTTTACAAAAAAATAGCTATTTTATTTTGTATATTTTATTGCAGTGGCAAAATACCCATATAGGATTGTTTGGAGAGATAAATCCGCCACATAGGTGTAGATATTTTTTATATTTTTAGCTATTTTTATTTTCATACCATGTAAGGGTATTTCATCTCCAAACACGCACTTTCTTTGCTTGATAGACAGCTGTCTGGTGTCTTCAGTGGTGTACGTTTGCTTCATGGAAAACGCCATTTTGTATACTTGATAGTCCCATTCGAGTTGAGGTTGAATATTCATAGAGACCATCTCATCCGAATTTAATATATAAATCTAGAAATAAGTTTTAAGTATAAAAAAAACTATATTAAAACAATGAGAAAATGGTAATCATATACAAAAGAATTATGATAAATTAGAATTTCATGAGTAAAATTCTAGGTATAGTACCTAAATTAAAATTTTGAGAAAAAAAACTTAATAAAAAGCATTTTCTGGAAAGTGCACCACCCTCTATAATATCATCATTCTTTTATTTTGTCCTCTATTTTATACTCTTATCTGAAAACGGTATATTTGCGCTTTACCTTGCGAACCAGGTCTTAAAGCCTGGCGTCTCATTATGCCACAAGGCAATTCGCGGGCTTACTTGAAAGTAAGCCGTATTACCGTCGAATATAAATCAAACGGAAGTGAGGATGGGAGAGTGCAAGGAACAGGGTCGGCTCGTTATTAGTACTGTGATAAGGACATTTTTTTAAGGAAACTATAAAAGAAAATATGTATCTGATATACCGGGTGTTGCATCGTCGGACGGGACATAGGAAATCCCATGTAAATTTTAATGGGGTCAATTATTGGCTTCCCTAATTATTTTAGAGAACAATTCTATTTAGGTTTATTGAAGAGCACTAAAACCCACATTCAAAAGAATAACTTTAGATATTTTTGATTAGCTCGTTTACGAGTTATCGCCGATTTCTTTTTAAATATTTCTCCTTTCTTATGTCCCTGTATTTACTTATGAGCACCAGTCAAGGCAAAAGATAACTGTCAAATGAAGTTGTCATTTCAGAAATCTACCTATTTAGTGCTTTATTATTATTGAAAACTCATTCCTACATCGGAAATCTTAAAGATGTATTTATAAATACAAATTAATATGAATTAATGTAAAATAAAGTAATCAATTACAAGGTTAATTATAGTATTATTACAATATTCAATAACTTATTAATTTAGGTAATATTAAATTGTTAGAACTTTAGGATTTAAGATGTTCAAATATTCCTCCATCGACGGCTAGATAATAACCCAGGCGATCATAAAATTCTCTTCTTACATTCGCTAGTTGGTAAACTGAAATTCTATTGCATTCGGCTGAAATAGCATTTTTTAACTCGTCTAGATTTGGGTGTTTTTTATCCTTGTATATCATGTTTTTTAAATGGCCCCAGAGAAAGAAATCATTTGGCAAAATATCAGGAGACCTTGCTGACCAATTTACTGTATGATTTAGGCCAATAACGTTTCCGTTAAAACTATTGTCTAAATATTCCCGAACAGCCAGGGTACTATGTGCTGGGCAGCCATCCATTTGGTACCAAACTTCCTGATTTTCCCTAGCGGCATCATGTAAAGCAGGTAAAATATGATTTTCGAGTAGTTCCAAATAATATTCTGCATTTAAATTTTGCGTAAGAAATAATGGTCCGATAATATTGTGTCCGAATATCCCTGCCCAAACATTTACTTTCTGTGGATATTGCGTCCTTGTTAATTACAGTAACCATTGTATGTTAAACTAAATTGGAATTTGACCCGAAAAGTTATACAGGGTGAGACAAAATTAATATGGAACATTAGTCACTTTTAAAAGCAAGTTTCTTCTTTATTTTAAATGGAACACCCAGTACCTTTTCTAGTACAACGGTACAACGTTCATAAAATGATTGTTTTTTCAAGAGAATCTTTCCATTTTAAAAGGCATATGTAAAGTTCTACCTCGAAAAGCAGCTACAATAATTTCTCTCATGTTGTCGACACTAGTTGGTCGAGTTTTGTAAACACTGTCTTTAACATATCCCCATAAAAAACAGACTAGATAAAATCAGAAGCATTTAAATATTCTATTAATTGGTGAATGCACATTGCATTCACCAACTAATAGAATCATATCAATTCTCTTTGATGTAGGATAAGTTTCCATTTTCGGCAAATTTCTGAGAATTTTTTTTGTTTTAACTGGCACAAAATGATAACTAGTTTTTAAAGTTGGACTAATTAGACAGCTATGTTGAAGTAACGTCAGACATATCACAACCACCTAGATTTTATCAAATAATAAAGATCTACTCAGAGTAAATCATGTAAATGAAAATATCTAGGAACATCTTTGTTTGAGGGGTAGGCAACCTTAATAGCGTTTTGAAGAGACATGAATTCTCCATTGAATATCGGAATAATATACAGGTTGTTCCATTTAAAATAAGAGAGTAACATGCTTTTGAAGGTGACCAATGTTCAATATTAAATTTGCCTCACCCTGTATAACTTTTTGATTTAAGTTTTAATTTGATTTAAAGTACAATAGTTAATTTAACTACATATTAGACTATACTGGGTAAATTCAAATTTAGGTAGCTTTTACTGTAATTTAAAAATTGTTCTTTATTTCTAGAAAATGTTAAATATGTCAAAAACCTTACTTAAACAACACTTCAGTAAAAATAAAACACCGACAACCATAAAAAGAGCGCTGCTTTTGAAGAGCATATCAAGATGTTTTCTCAAACATTTTTAGTGTAGCGCTGCTGTATACCTTTTAAGACAATCCAAACTCGAGAACAACGTAAGTTAGAGAACGGTTGGGTTGCAAATCCGGTTCCCTGGCTAAAAAGGCCTAAAAGCCCTACTTTAAACAGATTTATGTCGGCGTACAGTCTCGTAGAAGGGCCTGCCGTATTTCACTACCGAACCGTAGCCAGTCCTGAATATTATAATCGTATTTTTTACTCGGTCTTAAGAACGTTATCGGCTGAAATATGTCGGTCATATTTTTTTCTCGAGAGGAGCTATTAAAAAGAGTGGTTTAGGTTTGGATAGATATAGTATGTGCAGGTTGTTGAGATAACTCACTTTATGTTACTACAAAATCTAAGGGTTTCTTGAGAGAAAATATTTTCAGTATTTTGTCAATGAAAAAGAAATTGAAAAAAAAAATAATTGTAAAATGCGTGGAGTCATTGGAGTGGAAAATTTATAAAACAGAGACGTTAATTTTTATAACTTATTATTATATTGATTTCTGAGCTAAATCCACATTTATTTAGAATAAATTATTAATTAAAACAATTTAAAAGTATCTAATTAACTAATTTTTGGTCGGAAATAATGGTGGTATATTTAATTGGTACACTTCTTTACAAAAATTTAAATAGTTTTTTTTTGTTTACCAATGGGCTTGCAATATTTACCACCTGTACATTTTATACATATAGATTTGTTGTGATGTTAAAAAAAATCTGAAATGTCAATATTCCATGGGTATAGTGATAAATGAGGTATAAATTATAAGAAAATGCATTTTCTACAAAACTTGAAGAGGTAGGTAAAAAATAGTATAATAAAATTTGATAGACAATTAAATTGTGCATCTGATTCACGTAAAATATACAGGGTGTTCCCTTTAAATTAAACAAGTTATTGCCGTTTAAAGCTGTAATTATTTAATATAAAAATTTTTGGACACTCTGTATAAGGTAGTACAATTTTTATTATTGCAACACAATATCTGATCAATAAATAATCTTCAGTAAATATTTAGTATTAAAAACTTTGATAACCTTGGAGAAATGAAGCCTTAAAATTTTTACTGCAATTTCATAAAATTGAAATATTTCATAAACGGTGAAGTTTAAGTGTAATAAACCTTAATCAAATTTACCCTTATTTCAATCATAGAATCCAAAAATAAAATAATATACAGGGTGTTCAATTTAAAAAAATACAATTATGTTTTTTACTTATTTGGGACATTCTGTATCTTGTAAAATATTTTTAAATTATAGCTCTAATAGTCCTTCAACCAACCCAAAACTTACAATTTGTAAAAATTTAATAGTTAGCTACAATACTCCGTGTCGTATATGGTGAACACCCTGTATATATGTAAATAAAGCTAAAAAAGTTTGAGAAAATATATTTTCGTAATATTAGGGCAGTAGATGTATGTTTCTTTTAAAAAACTGAATAAAGTAGACAATTTTTTTTTATTAAGGAACTAACAATTACAGACAGCAAATAGATAAGTTTGACAGATTGTAATGTTTAAAAATAAAAAAAAATCTTAGATAAGTACATACAACAAAAGTTTACTATTCATTGTCTAAAATATTGCAGTAAAAAAAGTATTATTTTTAAATAAAAACGCTAATGTATGTGCACCATAATTTTGGAGATTCGATGACGAACCATACATTATACAACGTGAAAATATGAGGAATGTACCAAAGTTATGCTGCAGTCACAAAGATACTCCATTTAACGGTACTTTTATTTTTAACAAGAAAATGGTTCTCGTATACAAAAGAGTTATGAAAAACTCTAATAATATTTTTTGAAGAAATTCATTATTTTCAGGTATTTCACTAATGAATCAAAAATCTAAGGAATTAAGAGACGTTTTTAAGGTTCCGTAACTCGGAAAGGAAAATACATATTTTTTTAGAACTACTTCAATCGTGGCAAGATTTCTTCCTAAACGTCGAATAACTTACCGACGTTACTGCTTCCCCCGTCTTCAGGGCGAACTGCAGCGACCATTTCGTGTCGGCTTCCTTAATATATTGCATATTAAATTGCTCGGGCTCGGCTCTGAAACAGAACACACGACAATGAACGGAATTCCTACTCGCGAGCCTTTATTATGACGCAAGGGTGGGTGGGACGTCTTTACACCCCGTTTTCCCCATTTTCTTCGTTTCCCACACGCAGAAAATCGGGAGAAAGTGGTGGGTAGAGATAGGTGGTTTCGTGCGGTTTTACGGTTCTATAAGTATTATTTTCAAGTTTGTGTGGTGCTATAAATTTTGAATGTTCTTGTTTAAGGAAAAAATTATAACAGGGTTATTTTAATTAAATCTATATTATTACCTAATTTGGAAAATAAAAATACATGGCGGTCCGAACTGTATTCCGGAAATTTCGGCAGCATATTCTGCAGATAGAAATAAGTAAAATAGTTCCTATAAATGAATGTCCTAAAATGCTTAGTTTTGGAGATACAGGGTGTAGACAAAAGTTCCATTTTTATTTCAATTTTTCCAAATAATTTCTGAAGTACCTAACGTCAATATTTGGACAAAAATTGGTGTCTGGAAGCTTTTTGACCTGAGTAATTTGATTTTGATGTCAATATGACTCCTACTTGCAGGGGGCGCAGCCTACATATTTTTTTAACTGGTTTAAATAGTAATAACTTTTCGTTCGTATCTGTATAAGACTACTGTTTCGTCTTCATTTATTTGAAAAAAAATTATGATTATTTAAAAAATATAAAGTTCCCAAATTTATAATTTATTTTTAATTTGTCACAACTATCTACTCAACATGTCTATTTTTTGTCAATGTATTGACTATTTCCATTCTAAATATCTCGAGAACGGTTGCTCGTAGCGATTTTTACTAAGAGACATTTTTTACGTAAAAAATCACGGAAATGTATATTTTTTCACTCAGTAGATTTTTTTTCACTCTTCAAAACAGTTAAAAGACATGTAGGTGGCGCCTCCTACAAATAGGAGTCATATTGATATCAAAATCCAATTTGTCATGTCAAAAAACTCCCAGACGCCAGTTTTCATCAAAATATTGACGTTACTTCAGAATTTATTTGGAAAAAATCGTAATAAAAATGAAACTTCTACACCCTGTATCTCCGAAACTAAGCATTTTAAGACATACATTTATACGTGCAATCGAAAAAAAACGGCGTCTGGAGAATGAAAATCGATGATAAATTTGTCGAGGTTAAGGCCTAGGCACCATTACTTGGCCCATTACTCTTCTTTATTTTTTAATGGCACTTACTGCCAGTTGGCCTTAGTATAGTTTAAAATTCGAGAAAAAAATCTTTTTGGAAATATATTTATCTGTTTGGAAACGTTTTATTTTTTATATAATTAGTGTTAATTTTGACAAGTTCAGTCAATTCTTATTAAATGACGCCTAGACAATGACCTCTACAAAATTATCATCGATTTTCATAGTAGGCACCGTCCAGATCAGCCTTAGCAGCATAAAAAAAGATAACTTAAAATACCAAAAGTACAAACAATATGAAGTAAAACCCTTTTCATAAAACAGAAGTGTAAGAGCGCGTTTCCTGGTCTCGCACAAACACGTACCGATCCTCCGGTACACGACGTTATCCCATGTTGCCGATTTGTCATTTTTAATAAGAACGTGCGTATTTTATCACTGGCACGAGATATGGCGCCGGTGTGCTATTCTTGTTCGTGGAACAATGTGCGTGTAGAAATTTTATTATGACAAATAGCCGGCGAATATGAAGAAGGAAGAATCGAGAAAAGTAGTTAGAGAAGTGTTACAATACGATGACGTGTTTATCAACTCTAAAATTCAAATATACCGTGTGTTGCATAGTCGACCTGATCATAGAAAATCCCATGTAAATTAAAGAAAAAAAATAATGAATATAAGTTGCCCATTCTATTTTAGAGAATTTTTTTTAAAAAACACAGCAAATTGTTCATTTCGAATAATTTACACGAATTTGTATTCGAGTTATGAGACATACAAAATATTTAATTAACAGTAAACTAAAAACAATACGGACGTCAAACAAACGTAACAATCATAAATTATGGCACAATATGACAAATCTATTATGAGTTTCTTCTACAGATGTGTCAAGAATATCCTAAATTATAGCTATTCTCTATTAGAAGTCACAAAAAATTCTCCTCTAAAAATAAATCTTTGAAAAATCAACTATATTTCGTAAATTAGTCTAAATAATAGCAATGGCGTATCACATGTCAACTTTTGACATTTTCGCATATGGTTTGTTTGTTATATATTTATGTTTTGTTTATGTAAATTGTAACATTTAGTAGTAACATTAAGTAATTTAAAAAAAAAATAAAGAAACACATTACTAAAAATTGTATTAATCAATAATAAATATGTAAAAAGTAAAAATAAATATGTAAAAATTAAAAAAAAACGATTAATAAAAAGTCGCCTTGACTAGGATTCGAACCTGCCTTACTACGTCTCAAACGTCATCAGCGTAAAGTCCTAACGCTTTAAACACGCGGCCACCGAGGACTTGAAAGATTCTATGTAAAATTCTTACTTAAAAGATAATGTTTAGTGAAAGTACTTTTTTATTTATAAACATTTATTTAATTCTGTTTTTAGTATTTGTTCTTATAGCGGTAACATAGATACATTATCTGTAAAAATTTCAATTGTCTAGCTATAACGGTTCATAAGATAGACCTTTGTGACAGACGGACGGAAGGACAGCGAAGTCTTAGTAATAGGGTTCCCGTTTTTACCCTTTGGATACGGAATCCTAAAAACACCAAGGGTACCATTTAAAAATCTTTTTAGTCATTTCCGGTGAAACAAGAAGTGACCGAAAACAATTGAATAGGTCAATCAATCCTAATTTATGTTATATACTAACATACCAAATCTCGTTTTTTATCTGAAAAAATAAAAAAGTTATAGAGGTGAGCCACTTTTGAGACGCACCCAGTATATAGGTTATCTCCTATACTAAAAAACTCACACTCTAGATCAATATAGCTTTACAAATTATATGAATCCACATGAAAGATACCTGAAATAAAAATTCATTCTAGAGATACAAAACAAAAATACTCTAATTCGGAAAATCTGAATATTACGAAAAAAGCGTAGAATTGAAAACAGAAAAACTTCACAAAACAACTTTTGTTTTCGATATCAGCACAATAAAAGCAAGGGAATGAACGAACGAAGTAAAAGTTTCTCGTATTCTGTTTGCCGTGAATAAGTTAATTTAGTTGAAAACATTACGGTCCAACTGTCAAACTGCGCGTTGACGGAAAGGAAATTAATAATTCGCCATTATAGAAATGATTTATTTGGCGTAATGCGCTGTGTGGAGCACTGTGAAAAACAGTGGCGAACAAAGTTATATTAACTTTTTCTCGATGCTGTTTATGTGTCAGTGAAAAAAAGGGGGGATGATGTTGTTTACTGCTGGATATAAATTAGTTTCAATGAAGCTATTTTGAAAAAATATTTTTTCTTTATTTCTGACAAATGAAAGGTGATATTTATCGAACTTCTTTTATACCAAAATATTTTGGTATATTATTAACTTTTTACATTTTGGCCATATTTCTTGTTCAATGTAACTGCGGTAAAAATTATTTCCCTTTTTATTCTTTTTTTAGCGTCTGACTACGGAGGTTTTTTTAGGGTTCCGTACCCAAAGCACAAATTACCTATAACAGATGCGAAAGAACACCGAATTACGCGTTCAGGTTTCTGTGACCTTCAGAAAGAGTTCATAGACAATCCGCATCAATGTATAGTTTGGGTTATTATTTGTTTGGGTGAAAATAATCTGCACCAATATGTTTTCGAGGCATACAAAAAGGTCCACAGACTTCGAGACATACGAAAAATCAAGTCCATTTAGCGTGTATCGCAATTTTCACACCTTAAAAATTAGTTTTTTATAGCTATAGCAACTGTAGCGACTATGAAAAAAAGCTGTGTGATTTTCATAGAAAATAAGGGCACCTGTAATTCATTTGAGAATGTTATAAATCGCTAAAAGAGGTTTCAAATCTCTTGGATTTCTATTAATATTAAATAAATTTTATTAAAAATTGAACTAAAATTGTTAGTATCATTAAAAACAATTCAAATTCAAAAATTGTTTCAGTCAAATTCCCTCATTTAAAGTGAATATTAAAGTAAATATAAATACAGCTCATTCTAAGCTCTACTTATCTTTAAGAAAAATTTAAATCATTGTTGCAATTGGGCCTTAATGCCATTTCGAATGAACAATAGTATTAATAATGTACATTATAATAATAATAAGTAGTGTGTATTAAAACTACTAAAACACTTTTAAATTGGTATTATATTAACAACTTTTGTTTTTTAATCCAAAAAAATGTTACCAATTTTCTCAATCAAAATATTTGTGGTCCTGAAAAGGACCTTCGTTTTCCCATGTTCGTCAAGGTAGGTAATGGGTAAACGGTAAAAAAACAGGATAATGAAATTTAAAAAATTACAAAAATTGTTCAAAAGTGCCTCCCTCTTGCATTAAACAATAACCCAAACGATCATAAAATCCCCTCCTCACATTGGATAACATATCAGGGGTGACAGTGTCAAAGGCATTAAATATTTTCTGCCTTAACTGCTCCAAGTTTTGAATTTCTTCATGGCCGTAAATTTTAGATTTTATGTACCCCCATAAAAAGAAATCATTCACCGAGAAGTCAGGTGAAATTAAACGTCAGTCTAAACAAAACTGTAATTTTTGAAAACTTGTCAAAATTTGGACACACGCTAAATGGACTTGATTTTCCTATGTCTCGAAGTCTGTGGACTTTTCTGTATAATCTCGCAGTAATTTAATAGATTGTTCGTCATATTATATCAGCTCGTAGGTGATTAGGAAAAAAAAGATATTTATAGTATAAAAAATTAATTTATTTAACAAAATTTAATTAAAGATGTGACAAAATAGTTACATTTCTATTGGTTCTATCGGACTTTTTTCAACTATATAAATCTTTATTTTTTGTAAACTTTAATGAATAAAATATTTTCAATCTAATAAATAATTTAATGATGTAAATAAGAGGAAATTTCTCACATGGGTGGTCAAATTCTATAGTTTTCATTATATCAAACAGCCTCTGAACGTTTTCTTCAGTGCAAAACTCATCAAAATTTAATTTAAATAATTTTTCCAGCCTGTAAATAAAATGAACAAATTTTTCCACTTTCATGATCAAAGGCTTTTAAATGGGTAAATAATTTCGAGTTATCCAGAGATTCGGATTTTTTTGCAAATTTTAGACAAATATCACATTGATGTATTTGAACACCCTTTTTAATGATGTAGTCAAACATAATTAAAGGCATTTTGAGTTGAAAACATTTCTCAGAGGCTGTTTGATATAATGAAAACTATAAAATTTGACCACCCATGTGAGAAATTTCCTCTTATTTACATCATTAAATGATTAATTAGATTGAAAATATTTGATGTATTAAAGTTTACAAATAAAGATTTATATAGTCGAAAAAAGTCCGATAGAACCAATAGAAAGGTAACTATTTTGTAACATTTTTAATTAAATTTTGTTAAATAAATTAATTTTTTATACTATAAATATCTTTTTTTTCCTTATAAATAAACACATTTGCATCCCATTTTAAATAAGATATACAAATTACCAAAACTTAGAAATAACAGTTCTAAAGTTCAACAAAAATCCTACACGCGTTTTTAAAAAGAAACATATAACCACGCACTATGTCATTCCAGCAAGCGAATACGACACAGCATAGGTTTCTGGACTAAACGACTGGTGTATTTACACCACTCAATAGGCGTGTCGGGTTTGCCGAGCGGTTTCCGATGCAGTCGCTTTTTTTCGCATCTGTTATAGGTAATTTGTGCCCAAAGGGTAAAAACGGGAACCCTATTACTAAGATTCGCTGTCCGTCCGTCCGTCCCTCTGTCACAAAGGTCTATCTTATGAACCGTTATAGCTAGACAGTTGAAATTATTACAGATAATGTATCTATGTTGCCGCTATAAGAACAAATACTAAAAACAGAATTAAATAAATGTTTATAAATAAAAAAGTACTTTCACTAAACATTATCTTTTAAGTAAGAATTTTACACAGAATCTCGTCTGTCTAGTCTCTCGTCTATCTAGTCCTCGGTGACCGCGTGGTTAAAGCGTTAGGACTTTACGCTGATGACGTTTGAGCCGTAGTAAGGCAGGTTCGAATCCTAGCCAAGGCGACTTTTTTTTAATCGTTTTTTTTTTAATTTTTACATATTTTTACATATTTATTTTTACTTTTTACATATTTATTATTGATAAATACAAATTTTAGTAATGTGTTTCTTAATTTTTTTAAATTACTTATACGCGCATTCAAAATTTCAGTTAAATCGGAAAAAAGTTTATAATAATATAGTGTCTAATGATAATAGATAATGAATGGTACTGAACCCTTCGTGCGCGACTCCGACTCGCACTTGATCAATTTTTTAAATGCTTTGTCGATGCAGCTATTTTGGCTTTTTGTACAATAAAGCTGTATTTATTATTATTATATTATTACTTATTGATCACCCTTGTAGACTTAAGCGTAATACGTCTGGTAGTTAAAATTTTATTAAACAAACAATACCAATTTCTTCCACTCTAAACCTCTTAAGTCTCGACAATAGCACGCTTCCGTACTTGTTCCAAACCCCGAAACATGAAATACCGCGAAACCTCAGTTTTCTAAGGGTGTCAAAATGGAAAACAATAGATCTTAAAACTGGATACTCACGACGCGGTGTTGTTGGATCGTCGAAAATGTCTGGAATTAAAGCTGTGACAGAACCCCGTTTCGGTGAAGACCGGCGTGAATCGCTTGTCTGGCGCAGAACAGCATCCGAATGGCGTGTCTTTGAACGAGCAATTGTCAAAAACGTCAGTACAGTCGTCCATGAACTGGAAGGGAAATGGATACTTTAATTGTTTAATTAACAACAATAGGGTATTGCTTTATTGGGAGGAAAAACGATACTTTTTGTGACGAGCCTGTACGTTTGACGTTACAGGCGAGGGACAAAAAGTACATTTTTACTCCGAACAGAACATGCTATTTTTTTTCAAACGTGACAAATATTTTTTTTAAACAATTTCAGGCGTTGCAAATAATATAAAAAGACTTGATATTATACTGGGCGCACAGTGGGCAAAAATCCAGAAGTATGTTGCAAAAATTCTTTTTTTGTTCGATTTTATTCAAATTTGGTAAAAACATTCTATGCCCGTAGGCCGTGAACCCTGTTAGTTTTGGCTGACTTGAGGGTGGTTGGGGGTGCTGGAGGGGATTCATAAAATGGAAAAATGATCTTTTGACTAATACAGCTACCAAAATGCGGTAAGAATATTTTACATTTCACTAAATTTTACGATTTTTGGCAGAGCCAAGATGAAACAGACAAATATTGAGCAATTATTACTCCTCCGCCATATACAGGGTGTTTTATATATTGACATCCTCTGTATCTTTTTTATTCGACGTTTTCGAAAAAAGTGTCTTGAATAAAAGTTTAATGGTCTCGAATACATTTTTCAAAACAGTCTTCTTTGCATATACAGGGTGCCTTAGAAATCCTGTGTGTGGCCCAACTTTCTTATTTCAAATTAGTACCCAATTTTTTATTTTATTTTTATTTTCTCCTAAAAATCCTAACTACTTTTTTGTAGCATAGCCTATACCTAATTTGAAATAAGATAGTTGAACCACGCCCCGACTTTTTGAAGCACTTTGTATATGCGAAATAGACTTTTTTGGCAAATTTATTCAAAACCATTTTCATTTAAGACAGTTTTCGGAAACGTCAAATAAAAAAGATAAAGGGGGTGTCAATGTATAAAAGAAAACCCTAGTATACTAATCCAATCGAACTTCTATTCAAGATTGTTTGTCATTTGCATAAGTTGGGTCTTTAATAATACCAGACAATATGTGAACAATATTTTATTATTATATTTTAAATAAGTAACAATATTCTGAGAATTAAACAATGACGATTTAGAAAATAACAGAACTTATACCTATTAAAAATATCTAAATTTTATTTTACCATCTACTATTTACTGATATTTTGTTTTATAACAGCTGGAAGCAATGGTCACGAAGTGCACATTTTTAAATCTGAAGAAAAATCCATTTTATTTAATTTAAAAAATTAGGTACTGTCAAAATTTGTCAATTTGTCAAAAAATGTCATTTGACGTTTATGACATACTTCTTCGGAAATCTTGAGAACAGTTACGTAACTTTATATTTCAAGTTCTTCTCTAGCTCTAGCTACTATAACAATTAATTTATGAGAATTATCCACATAAAGGATGTTACTATACACATACGCATGGAGGCTAACGCTTCCAATAAAGTTAATGTTGCGATTTTTTGCGATTTTTTTTACTTAACTTTTCTAAGATAGAATATATGCCACTATCAAAAAAACCTTAAATGATTATGTTCTACTTTGACCTTTACCTAGTTTTTATCCAAAAAATCAAAATAAAAGATACTTTCTTACTTACCTTCACATTAAATTTACCGCAACCGGGAATCTACGTAAAACACGTTATGACAATTTTACAATAATTATTGACAGTAAGCTAAGGTCGTCCGATTCAATTGTTATAATACTGTGTCACTTGAATGCAACCCTACTACTTAAAAAATTGTAGAAAAAAGGCAGTTATCGGACACAAATTAACTGAAAATGTAGGTTTTGCGCAAAATTTGTTTTACAGCCCCTCGAAAGAGACTCCGAACATGTTTTTTTGTTAGTTTTATGTGGTTTCTTCTTAACTAATATGTTTTCAATCTAATGTTATTGCCATAAATGCTAACTGTCGATGTTATTTTTTGCAACTTGGTTTGGACATATTGCCTACTGTGGGGCGGTCCGAATTGAATTCAGCAAACTTTGGCAGCATATTCTGCAGATAAAAATAAGTAAAAAAGTTCGTATAAATGTATGTCCCTAAATGCTTCGTTTCGGAGATACAGGGTGTAGAAGTTTCATTTTTATTTCGATTTTTTTCAAATAATTTCTGAAGAAACGTCAATATTTAGATGAAAAATTGGTATCTGGTAGTTTTTTGAAATGATAAATTTGATTTTTATGTCAATATGACTCTTATTTATAGAAGGCCCCACCTACATATGTTTTAACTGTTTTGGAGAGTAATAACTTTTCGTCCGCACCTGTATAAAACTACTGAGTGAAAAAATATTCGTGATTTTTTACGTAAAAAATGTTTCTTTGTAAAAATCAAGTTCTCAAGATATTTAGAATGGAAATAGTCAATACATGTCATTATTGACAAAAAATAAACATGTTGAGTAGATAGTTATTTGACTGAAATGATAAATTTGGGAACCTTTCATTTTTTTAAATTAATCATAAAATTTTCTTCAAAAAAATTATGATAAAACACTTTCTATTGGACTTTTGGCACAAAAACATTAAAAATTTATTATTTCAGTCTGATAACTGTTTAGTCAACATTCTTAATATATGTCAATGATGACAGGTATTGATCATTTCGATTCCAAATATCTCGAGAACCATTACACGTAGCGATTTTTACCAAGACACACTTTTACAAATTCATAAAAATATTGTCAAGGTGTTTAGGATATATGGCTATGTTTATATTTAAAAAATTAAACATATATTTTTCAGTCATTTTGAAAAACCAGGGCAATAATTCCAGAATATGACCTTGTCCCAACATATACTTGTTAGGGCTCGTAAATCGAAAAAATATTAAGATGATAACACCCTGTATCTACGAAACAAAGCTGAATCGGACCTATGTTGATACGAAAAATAAATCTTTTTTTTATGTGAGGAATCTCCCCATGAGAGATGGCACATGTTTTTTTGAAACACCCTGTATAGTATACCTTGTAAATATAATTTCTAATGTCCTCATTTTTATCAATGTACGTGTCAGCTTCAGTATATTTCTTGGTGAATATCGGTATAGAATCGAAATCAAGTTTGGTTAAATCATAGATAAAATCAGCTTTTTGAAGATCCTGCGTAGTACTATTTTCCCTGAAACAGTAAAAAAATACACACAATAAATAGCGTTCTTATAGTTATACGAGTAGTTTATACACAAACCGGTCAGAGATAAATCTGTTTAAATATAATTTAAAAAATAAAGGGTATTTTATGAAAAAATATAGAATTTTTGTATTTTAAAACAAAGAATGTGATCCTTTCAGTGTAAACCTTTATATGCAACTTATTTTCTGAAGCTTTCTTTACGTAACGGAACATCGTAGACGCCAGTTTGGCTTTATCTAAATCCGGTTTCGGGTTATTGACTGTTTACAAACTACGCAAACTTGCGCTAAAGTTTAATGAATAATTTCTAGAACATCGTAGCCAGAGGTAGATCTGAGGAGTTACTTTGAAAAGAAATTTGCGTCGTTCAGTCAGTGTGATCCGGAAGTTTATGAGCTTATGTTAGATTATCCCGATATTCATGTTTTTATCTCACTTGAGATTACAGTTGAGGGAACTCTCTTGGTTTCTGAAAAATAAAATTAATTTTCTTAAAAAGGTCCGATTAAATTTATATCTCCGAAACTAAAGTTCCAAGAAAAGTCGTAATATATCTACAAATTCATTTACCCACTAGTAGATATAAAAAGCATTTTTGGTAAACTCTGTCTCAAATAGTTTCTGAAAAATAAAATTAATTTTCTTAAAAAGGTCCGATTAAATTAATATCTCCGAAACTAAAGTTCCAAGAAAAGTCGTAATATATCTACAAATTCATTTACCCACTAGTAGATATAAAAAGCATTTTTGGTAAACTCTGTCTCAAATAGTTTCTGAAAAATAAAATTAATTTTCTTAAAAAGGTCCGATTAAATTAATATCTCCGAAACTAAAGTTCCAAGAAATGTCGTAATATATCTAGAAATTCATTTACCCACTAGTAGATATAAAAAGCATTTTTGGTAAACTCTGTCTCAAATAGTTTCTGAAAAATAAAATTAATTTTATTAAAAAGGTCCGATTAAATTAATATCTCCGAAACTAAAGTTCCAAGAAATGTCCTAATATATCTACAAATTCATTTACCCACTAGTAGATATAAAAAGCATTTTTGGTAAACTCTGTCTCAAATAGTTTCTGAAAAACAAAATTAATTTTCTTAAAAAGGTCCGATTAAATTAATATCTCCGAAACTAAAGTTCCAAGAAATGTCGTAATATATCTAGAAATTCACTTACCCACTAGTAGATATAAAAAGCATTTTTGGTAAACTCTGTCTCAAATAGTTTCTGAAAAATAAAATTAATTTTCTTAAAAAGGTCCGTTTTCTAGAAAAGTCCTTAAATTAATTCTATTTTATTTCATACTCTAAATAAAGTGTAGTATAGTGTAGTATCTTATAAAATTATATAAAAGAAAAATATCATGAAATATAAAAAAAAATAATACAATGAAATACAAAAAATGATACAATGAAAATATCAAACATATAAATAAAATGATTTTTTTTGTTAAATTTTGAGAACCACTGTATTTTTTCTCGGTTTCCTTTCATGTTAATTTAATCTACTACATATTTATGTTGCCATATTATATTTGTTTACTTAATATTTAAATTTTTTATTAAAAAAACATATTTTCAATTTCTTTTTCGCGAAAAAACGCAACGGCCCAGCCACGTCGAAACACCGGTTCCCATTAAAACACCGAAGTTAAGCGACGCAAGGCGATACTAGTGGATGGACGGGTGACCGGTTCGAAACTCTGTATCGTGCTGTTGTCCAAAAAAGGCAAAATTGTAAAATCTATTGACACACACTGCTCATTCACGCCGGTTCGAGGCTGGATGAGATCGGATATCTCGTGAGTCAGAGTCGATTTAGACACTTGCCAAAAGTCGGTAGGCCACTGACCATGATATGGCCGAGGACCGCGGTTCGGATTCCGCGTAAACAAAGTAGGCTCCGTCCAGATTATACCTGGCAGCAAGAAGGAGACGTTAACTGAAATCTTTACTTTACTTTTTTTTTCGCGAAAAAAACAACTCATAGACGTGTTTCTGGAGTCGAAATATACTACGGTTATAAATATTTGCACTTATTTAAAACTTACCTTGTATAAGGAGATTAAAAAATAATCTATTTAAACAGTAAAAAATAAATATCTATTATTCCAAAAAAGATTGGTCAAAAACTTGCAATAAAAAAATACTTACAAAATTAAATAAAAAAATCTTACGTTATGTCCAGGAGCCTCCTGATTTGTTCTTGTTTAGCAGGATCGGTAGGACACAGTATGACAGCAGGAAACGGTACTTCCCAGTTATGAAAATCCGTGTCCAGTCCTGTGATTGTCGGATTGGTCTGGAACTTTTCCCATAGACTAAATATCACCACCACTGTAGCAACTGCTCCGATCAAAACACAAACAAACCACAAAAATCTAAAAAAAAATGTTTTTTTTATTAAAAATGTTCATTTTTTAATTCTCCATATATTAAAAAAATATTATACAGGGTCTTCGATTAAAAAAAAAACGAAGAAAAATTATTTTATATTTTAGAAAGTTTAGCTTAGAATTATGAACATCCTGTATGATTTACGATTACCACATTTATAGCAAAGAAAGATGACAGACCATCTAAAGTAAAAACCTGATATAGTTTTGATGTCAGGACAGTTCTTGTATTTTTAATATTTGACTGAAAAATGGATATTTTTTTATTTATTTGTTAATATCTCTGAAACTACCGAAATATATTTACTCATGTCTTAGGATTATGTAAAGTAATCTAAAAGGAAGCCAAAAATGCAATAATATACAGAGTGTTCCTTTTAAAATAAATCGTCCCGATCCGCTCAAACTTTTTTGAGTCACCCTGTAGAAGTTAAAATATTTTCGAGAAATACATCCTAGTACACTTAGACAAGGAAAGAGAGGGGACAGGTAACACGGTAGCTGAAAGTGAAGCCACTTGTCACCAAGCGAAATTCTCCAATGGCGTAGCATCAGAAATTAGCTTGTACCTAGACGATACAAAATATTTATTAAAACGTAAACTAATATATCGTTCATTTTTGAGTAATGCATATACAATTTTGTATTTTATAATCTCACCTTTATAATATTAGAATATCTAAGTCAATAATGCAAAATTTATTTAACAGTCACATTGGACTGATCATCAAGACAATAGACAATTATTTATTTATTAACGTGTGTATAATGAATAATTAAATAAAAAATAATGTAAATATATATTATGTTTTATTCCAATGTAAGGGGTGCGTCAAATTCGACGCTTTTAAATGGAAACACCCTTTTCTATAGGAGATAGACAAAATCTAATATCGGTGTCTGGAGCTCAATTTTTGTCAAAAATATGATGGTGAAAACCGCATATCGATATCTGTTACCGTTTCGGAGTTACGGGGTGTTATTCAAATATATGCATTTTTAACAAATCGCTGTAACTTTTTTGCTATGGAACATTTTGTATTTTTATGAAAACATTTCCAAAGCACCTTTTTACGTAGAATTTAATGGTTTAAGTATAATTTTTTTAAAATTAATAATTTAAGAATTATCAACAGAAAATTTAATTTTTTATATGGGACACCCTGTACATTTTAAATTTATTGAAAATAATTTAAAATTACCTTTCCAAAAATATAACACACTTGATATTTTGCTCGATTCCTCTTCGAGATATAGAGTATATAAAAATTCGCCCGCTTTAAATAAGTAGGCTTTGCACCGGCTGTAATGCAAAAAAATTCTAGCTGTGAGCATCAATTAAAACGAAAATAACATTTGCTATGATACAATATATTTAACTAACATCATCACATTTAAACTATATCTAATAACAATAAAAATAAATAGCAAACTAAGACATGAGATTTTGGTACAGGTGTTCGACATATCGACCGTCTTTTGTTATGGACAGACGGGGCAGTTTTTGAACATTTCTCGCGGAATTCATTAACTCAGTGGGGGTGAAAGATACCCTCTCATAACTGCTAAGTATTTCTAATTCTTGTCTAGATTATACGGAAGAATAAGGAACCTTTATTCTTCCGCAAATATATCCATAGGATTAGATCCATGGGCACTAAGTCAGGCGGCCTCGACGGCCAACGGCTGGGGTCTTGGTTAGCTATTCAATTATTCTTGAAATTGGCTGCAAACATTTGCTGATAACTTCAGCGTTCAGAGGCAGTGCATCGTTTTGCTGGAAAAATATGTTTTCGAATTCCATTAAGGGCATATCATCAATAAGGAGTCCAAAGCCTACTAGTTAAATGTGGCGAACTTTTGAAAATTCTGTATTACGAAGGGGATTATAACAAAATATCAAGTGTGCTATATTTTTGGAAAGGTAATTTTAAATTCTTTTCAGTTAATTAAAAATATAGAGGGTGTCCCAAATAAACAATCATTTTTTCTGTTGATAACTCCTAAATTATTAATTTTAAAAAAATTATACTTAAACCATTAAATTCTACGTAAAAAGGTACTTTTGGGATGTTTTCATAGAAATACAAAATTTTCCATAGCAAAAAAGTTACAACGATTTGTTAAAAATGCACATTTTTGAAAAACACCCCGTAACTCCGAAACGGTAACAGATATTGATGTGCGGTTTTCACCATCATGTTTTTGATAAAAATTAAGTTCCAGACACCGATATCATGTTTTTGATAAAAATTAAGTTCCAGACACCGATATTAGTTTTCGTCTATCTCCTATAGAAAAGGGTGTTTCCATTTTCCAAAGCGTCGAATTTGACCCACCCTGTACATATATACCGTATGATAATGAAAAATGATATGAAAAAAACGGCGTCCTGTTTGTTTGGAAATGACGATCGATGACATTCCCCATATAATTCTACATATAAAATGACATAAAAACTATATAAAACGACATCGAAAGAAGACGGCGTCAGCGATGGCTATGAAATGAAGATCGCTGTCATTAATTAGTTATAGTACACAACATTAATTATAGTACAGGATATTGAAAATACTACTTGGAATTATTAAAAATAGTTTGGTTTAGATGTGGTACAAGACATATTAAAAGCATTTTACATATTTTTACTGCTATAATGAAAAAATGTACATTTTGTGACTACATAACAGAAGTTGTGTATCGATTTTTACCTGTGAAATGTAATTCCAGCCACTTTTTTCTCGCTTCGGCCTTTGCAGCCATACGCTGAACATCTCACCATACTAAACAACACAGTTTATAAATTTAAAACAAAACAGTAGTCACAAAAAACATAAAAATTCGCTCAGTGTCACCTCGAAATCTTGTCACCAAAGTATGGCCGCTGATCGAATTTTGGCCTCAAAAACAGACCACTGGAGAATATGCGTGTTACCCGTCCCCTCTCTTTCCTTGTCTAAGCTAGTACGTATATCTACCAATTATTACCAAATTCATGGTAACGCCTAAAAAGTTAGGTGACATAATTATATAGTTTTCATAGTGACGACGATATCCACTTCTCGATATCCTTATAGACCAGGAGTTCTTACAGGACCACTACTAATTCTTGTACTACTTTTTTTTTATCGCAATGGGACATATTTAATTCAGGGTCCGTATTAGATTAGAAATATTAACTACAAATTATACAAATATAGCTGATTTGAATAAAATCTGGCATAATTTATCCATTTTCAACACAACGCAAAGCGTATACTTCTTTTCCAAAACTTTTCCCCTAAAATTTCCCTCTATTTGCCAACTTCTGCCTCTTTATACGAACACAAAATTCGAATGTTACGGACACAGTAAATAAAAGCAAATCTGTCTGTCGTCGGCCAGAACAAAGCAGCAAAGAGAACGTCTTCTTTCGTCTTATTGGAAAACTTTCAAGATGGTTCTGCCCGCCCCGCTTGTTTTTGCGAGGTTTAAGTGTGGCCGGAATGGCATTTCATCTTGACATCGCATAAAATAGGTTTAGGGATACATAAACATTATTTTATGGAATTTTATTCGCAATGTCAACAAATAAAGTTTAAGAGAATACTCGAAAAATGAAGACATACGAAATTTATAAGACTTTTTTTGCTAGAGAAATATTTTATTTTATCTACAACCTTTGTAGCGTTTCCGGTAAGTAAGTCCGGCAATAGTGCGTCTTGCATCTGTAGCTCCGAGAATAAAAAAAGCTTGAGAATTTTTTTTAAATGTGAGTAGTAAAACGGAGCGCGGCGTCAGCAATGACCAAAGACATTAAATCTATGGCAATGGCTATGAAATGAAGATAGCTATCATTTTATATGTATATTTATATGAGAAATGTCATCGATCGTCATTTCCCAGCCAAGTGAAAGCTGTTTTTTTTCGATTATACAGTATTTAAAGCACGCATTCAATCCCTTACTCTAGAACAATTATTTTAGTTAAAAAATAATATTTTTTTAAGTCTTTCGAAAAATATAAAAAATATAAAAAAAATGAAAACTTGGCAGAATTATATACTTAAATAAAACGTTAGAAAAAATGCAAACGTAACAGCTTTAACAACAAATATTTTAGGGCTTATCTAGTGTTTTTCTCGTGGAATTTCCCTATACTAATTATAAATTTCTGTTTAACTTTATATTTCTGTAAAATATAACATAACAAGATGTAAACAAAAAAGTGATGGCTATATTAACAAATATTTCAGAACTTCTCTAGCTATACTTGTTTCTGTGAAGTCTAGATTATTAATTAACCTAAAAACAGACGAAAAAGCAGCTAATTACTCGAGAGCGCGAGACAGCTCAAAATCCTCGGCCAGACTTCTCTAAGTAAATAAAACCGTCAGTTCGGAGAAAAAAGTAAAAAACACCAAAAAAAGCAGAAAAGAAGTTTGAAAGAAATCCGAATTAATTATGGGTGAGTTTTTGCCAACCCGATTAAAAAACTTCTCCACTTCTAACTCACAGATAAGCAATAAAAATCGTCTTGCTGTCAACGCGCAACGCTTTTCGAGTCGAGGTTAAGTTTTTAGTGGGATAAAAAACGATTAAAATCAATGAATAAGTAATTTATTACATATATAATAAGCTTTTTCAAACTCCGCTAAATTCAAACCAAAAAAATTTAATTAAAATTATTTATTTTTTGACCAAATATGATGTTAGGGTTAGACTGTAGAATCTGTAGAAACTGTAGAAATATATGGAAGAAAATATTCCATATCTTTTTGTAGAATATAATATATCTCCGTTCATTATTAAATTTAATAAGAGTGACAAAGAAGACAGTTTCATGTTTATTTGTCTTTTGTTCTCGTCGCGTCGGCGCATATCGATGACGGTAACAATAATGTCAAAAAACATGTCATTCCAAAATGATATTTTTCCAAAATGTCTTAAGACGGCAATAATCATTCCTCTGTATAAAGGAGGAGACAAAGATGAAGCTTCTAACTATCGCCCAATTGCACTCCTTCCAACACTATCTAAGATCATAGAAAGGTTGGTTAAAGAAAGGCTGGTATCTTTTCTGTTTAAGTACAAAATACTTACTGAATATCAATTTGGATTTCTAAGCAACAAGTCCACAAATGACGCTATGTTTTCCCTCCTTAATAAAGTTTACTCCAGCCTAAATAACCATCATTCTACAGCAACAATTTTCTGTGATTTTTCTAAGGCGTTCCATTGTGTAAATCATCAAATCCTATTTAATAAACTGGAGCACTATGGGTTCAGGGGAACATCTCTCGAATGGTTTAAGTCGTATCTGAGCAACAGAAGTCAACTTGTGAGGGTGGATACCACGTTGTCTTCTAGCAAGCCAATAGAATGTGGAGTACCACAAGACTCAGTACTAGGCCCTATTTTGTTTCTTCTTTTTATTAACGACATTGCTAACATAAACATCAGTGGCAAAATATGTCTTTTTACGGACGACACTAGCTTCACTTGGAGCAACAAGGACGTCACGGCACTTTATAGAATTATATCAAATGATTTAATCACTATTAAATCTTGGTGCGACTCGAACCTCCCGAGTCTCAACATTTCTAAAACTAAAGCTTTGTCGTATAAAAACTCGCTGCAGCCGTTTGTACTTAACAACACCTCCATTGACGTCGTAAAATCTGTAAAATTCTTATGGCTTGTTTTAGACAATTCTCTGAAATGGGACATGCATATCGAAGCTTTGTCGAAAAAGTTGAGCTCTGTCTGTTTTGCATTAAGATCTGTTTCTAAGGAGATTAACTTCTCAGTGGCTAGAACTGTTTATTATGCACTTTTTAGTCGCACCTCAGGTATGCCCTTCCATTCTGGGGTACGTGTTGTGCGACTGAATTTGACCGCATTTTCAAGCTCCAGAAGAGAGCTGTTCGATATTCACTGGGACTAAACAGCAGAACTCATTGCCAGGACTTTTTTACAAAATTAAAAATATTAACTCTTCCTTCCTGATTTATATTTGAATCCGTTTGCCTAATATATAAGCATGTATCAGCTTCTCAAGACAGGCCATCTCACACTTATCCACTCAGGAACGCGGAGCAAGATCTTTATCTACCTCCCCACGCTCAGAGTTACTCAAAAGTTCAATATTATACAACTCGAAAAAAATGCACAATCACCTGCCATTTGAAATCAAATCCATAACATCATTTTCTTCATTTCGCAAAGCATTTAACTCTTATTTACTAGACAAGGCTTTCTACGCCGTAAATGAATTATATTTTGATAATCGAATTTGATCTTGTAAACACTGGTCTAATGTTTGCTATTTCTATATTTACCAATGACACCGAAACAAATTTATTTAGAGATTATTGATACCTACTATAAACTAACTAAATATTTTTGAATATTATTTTTATTTGTTTTATTCTTTGACATTGTAAACATTTATAAATGTTTATTTTAAACAATAAGACTGACAATATTACTTGTATAATGTTTTGTTTGTTTGTTTGTGTACCTTGTTTGTTTACTTTGTTTGTTTACTTTAACTTTATCTACAAATTGTAAAATTTTTTGACAATAAAGGCATTTATTTATTTAATAAAATTTTGAAAATCGGGTGCCTGACATGAATAAATTATTTTGTTTTATATATATTTCCCTATTAGTTAGTTTTGATAAATAGCAGTAGCGGTAAAAAATCTGAAACTTCACTGAAATTTTATCCCTAAAAATAACCCTTAAAAAGTTTACTCCCAGAAAAAGTCCAACACTGGTTGGGGGTACATACACTTATCGAATTTTTCAGATATTTTATTTATGACTCTATTCTAACTGTAAAATTTTTCTTTTAGAATCCTTTATTTGCCTATTAGAAGTTCGATCGATGGTGGTAAATCAACGGTAAGTTATCGGCGTTCACGCCCTCTATCCGCAACACCGTGAACCGAGAACAGTATTTCACTGATTATTTTTTCCTCTATTTTCTGCTCCACGAGTTCGGGAATTTCTTCAGTAAAATAGAGAATGAATTATGTATGATTTTGGAGGGAGATAAAGCAAAAACGAGAGTTACTTTTTGAACAGTCTTGTTCTTTTTCGAACAAAGAAAAAAATTCAATAAAAGATACATTGGAAATTAGAAGTAGAATTAATGCTGTAATTATTGATTAATGATCAGTGTGGATTGTACAGAGTGTTCCAATTTTGGTGTTTTTACAGGGTTTCTCGCTTATGAGTCGAGTTACAAAGATGCGGTTTTCACATTGCTGTGCTACATTTTTATGAAACTAAAGATGCTGCATACAGATGTGTCCTAGCATTTTTAGTACCTGAAATACAGGGCGAATTTTAAAATGTTGCTTTTTTTACCTGTTGTATTTTTTAACGTGGGAAACCCTGTATATTAATTTTTTATTTTATTTGCCTTGTAGTTTTTTGGCTTTTTAGTAAGGCTTTTTAGTACCTCAAAGTCTAGGTGTAAAAATGATACCTTTTGTGGCTAGGTTGTACGTTTAACATTATAGGCGAGACACAAAAAGTAATTTGTGTCAATAATAACACGTATTGACTATTTCCATTCTAAATATATTGATAACAGTTGCTCGTAGCAATTTTTACCAAGAGACATTTTCTACGTAAAAAATCACGGAAATGTATATTTTTTCACTCAGTAGTTTTATACAGGTACGGATGAAAAGTTATTACTCTTCAAATCAGTTAAAATACATGTAAGTGGCGTCTCCTTCTAATAGGAGTCATATTGACATGAAAATCAAATTTATCATGTCAAAAAACCTCCAGGCACCAATTTTCATCCAAATATTGACTTTAGTTCAAAAATTATTTGGAAAAAATCGAAATAAAAATGAAACTTCTACACCCTGTATCTCTGAAACTAAGCATTTTAGGACATACATTTATAAAAACTTTTTTACTAATTTTTATCTGCAGAATATGCTGCCGAAATTTCCGGAATAGAGTTCAGACCACCCTGTATATTGAGAAATTATGGTTACACTCATTGAATTCGACACGTTGTGTCAGTTTAATAATATAATTATCGTACTTTTGTGCTTAGGCGTAAAGTGCTTTACTTTTATGCCTAGGCTTTAAACTGACTTTTTTATATGTCAGTCACGTCGAAAAAATTAATACTTTTATGACGATTTGAAAAAAAAATATATCGTTTTAATGTATTATAAAGGGCCTACTTGTAAGTTATATACATACTGACCTTTCCAGAAAGGGTCTGCCGTGTTCAGCAATATACTTTACGCCATGCAGAGTGGAGTATTCGAAGAATTCCCTCACTTGCACGGTCCAACTTATTTTCAGGTATTTATAGCTCGTCGAAATTCTCTTCCACAACAACTTCGACGCCTTTTTCGACATTTTTATATATAAAAGTGAATTCCGGTAGCGTTGAGTGTATCTCGTTAAATCTAGAAAATATGAGAAGAATATATTAGTTAGGAATTAAAATAAACATAAATACAGATTTGTTCACCACATACGACACGGAGTATTGTAGCTAAACGATTAGATTTTTACAAATTTATTTTTGAAGGACTATTAGAGCTACAATTTAAAAATATGTTTACAAGATACAGAGTGTCCCAAATAAATAAAAAATATCAAAGTTGTATTTTTTTAAATGGAACACCCTGCATATTTTTACATTTTTAGTTTCTACGATTAAAATTAAGGTAAATTTGATTAGGTTTATCACACTTAAACTTTACCGGTTTTGAAATATATTCAATTTTGTGAAATTGCAGAAAAAATTTTAAGGCTTCGTTTCTCCAAGGGTATCAAAGTTTTTAATACTAAATATTTACTGAAGTTTATTTATTGATCAGTTATTGTGCTGCAATAACAAAAATAATACTACCTCGTACAGAGTGTCTAAAAATGTATTTTAAACAATTTCTAGTTTTAAACGGCAATAACTTGTTTAATTTAAATGGCACACCCTGTATATTTTAGGAGAATCAGCTGCACAATTTAATTGTCTATTAAATTGTATTATATCATTTTTTACCTATCCCTTTAAGTTTTTGTAGAAAATGCATTTTCTTTTAATTTAGACCTCATTTATCAATATACCCATGGAATATTGACATTTTAGATTGTTTTTAAAGCAACAAATGTCTAAAATGCACTGTTGATAAAAACGATAATATTACTAGCCTATTTATATACAAAAAGAAAACTATTTAAATCTTTATAAAAGAGTATACCATTAATTAAATATATCGTCATTACTTCTGCTCAAAAATATTAATTAATTACATATTTAATTGTGTTAGTTAATACAATTATTTTAAACAAATGTGGTTTTGAATAAGAAATCAATACAATAATAAGTTATGAAAATGAACGTCTCTGTTGTTATAAATAAGCATTCGTCAAAAAATGAAAAAAAAATTAAGGTGTTACTTTTTACCACACTGTCTAATACACATACAAAATTCAGATTTTTAATACTTGGATCAATTATTATTAATCAATTTAAATAGTCAATTAATGTAGTTTAAATACTAGAATCATATTAATTGGTCCTCTTTAACAAATATTTAAACAGTTTTTTTTTTATTTTTTAATGAAATAAACGAACTATATCGACAATATTAGTATCTGTACTCTTTAAAAATTTGTTACATCTTTAAAAATAATCTAAAATGTCAATAATACTCCATGGGTGATAAATGAGGTGTAAATTATAAGAAAATGCATTTTCCACGAAAACTTGAAGAGATAGGTAAAAATGGTATAATACAATTTGATAGACAATTAAATTGTGCATCTGATTCTCATAAAATATACAGGGTGTTCCATTTAAATTAAACAAGTTATTGCCGTTTAACATTAGAAATTATTTAAAATAAATTTTTAGACGCTCTGTATAAGGTAGTATAATTTCTATTATTGCAACATAAAATTTAGTAAATAAAAATACTTCAGTAAAATAATTGGTTTTAAAAACTTAAATACGCTGTAACAGTCAAATTTCCTCGCAACGACCTCTGTGTGCTAGCTCATAAAATATCGCAAATAGCTATTATTTTTGCATCATGTTTACTATAATTTTATTGTTAAATATTATTTTATTTAAATTTTACAATTATGCAACCCGATATACACCGCGCTATAGAGCCACAGAATATTATCACTGGATGCCGCCAAGCATTAGAATTTTTGTCCATCTCTAAAATCTTTGGTCATCACTTGTCCCTTTGTCACTGTCAGATCAAATCAGATGTTTTTGGATTTATTTATCCTTTGTTTTGGTTATTGAAATTTTATAATTATCAGATAAAATTTCGTAGTTAAATTGGTTATTTTTGATGTGGATCGCAGTGTGCAATTCGTTCATTTAATGGTGGGAATTTGTGAATAAGTTCGTTCATTGACCGGATATGAAATATGACAATGAAAAATATTCTAGAACGTCGTTTTTTATTTATGCCTTTTTGTGAGTTGGACTAGTCGAGATATATAGTTCTCTATCTATATCCTGGAGGGAGATTTCCGGTTGAAATCTGATTTTGTGAAGGAAATCGAATCCTTGCATCACTTCTTGTGTATCCACCAACTGAAGAGTGTCGTCGTGAAGAACTGGCTGCCGTTTCGTGAAGCATTTCCTGTTGGTAGTTAACAGGTCTTCCTAGAGAAGGATTAAGGCTTCCGAAACACCTTTGGTCAGAGGCGTGGTTGGATTTGATGATTTTATGGACCGCCGACCAATTTCCGTGAGGGATTAAATAGCCAAATTTTTCCGACCGATATTCCGATTCCACGTGCCCAAGAAGTCCCCGAACAGTTCCAAGAGCAAGAAGACCGATCCAGACCGTATAGCACAGAACAGTCCAGAATTACATCCGTTCCTGTTGCCCGTGTGTAGAGTTACCCGTTGGACATCATAAATCCTCGTTGAGGGTTTTTTATGTTCACCTTTTGAAGTCCTACACCTGGCCGGCATCCGTACGTCTGCTGACATCCGTGGGCTCCAGTGACAGTACACACCGAGCTGCTGTGCACCGCCGTAGCCACCCTGTAGCTATACACCAGCTCAGCCGGAGGAACTTCCGAGTTGTTTCAAGATTGTACATCGATTAGAGTAAGACTGTTTAGATTTAGATTTGCTTATTGTAAACCACCCTGTTTGTATCTAGTATTAAGTTAGATAAGGGGGTTTGACGTCATAGGTTTAGTTCTTATTGATTTACATACTGATTTAACTTACATTCAGTCATTTACATTCATTTTTCATTTTCTATTCGTTTTTTTTATATATCCTATTTAACTTTTAATATTTCAATAAATTGCTTAAATATTTTTAGTAGTATTATTTACAGTCTAGTCTCATAGTTAAGTTAGAGTCACATAAGTTCAAGTAATTATAGTATATTTGAAGTTCATGGTAGTTACACTCAGCAGTTCGAGGTTAGTGTTGAAGTCTACTTAATAGTAACATCTTTTATGCCGAGTTCATAGAGTATAATCTCGTGGCGCCCTTTTATTAATATCTTTGAACCCCGACCACCCGGCTGTTAAAATTAAAAAGCTAGTGGCCTTTATGCAACTCATTCAGATTAAGTAAACTTTGTGTTTTATTGAACTTCGAATAAGAAAGGGCGTGGCAACGCCTAGAGAAATGAAGCATTATAATTACTGTATTTTTACAAAAACCTAAATATTTCAAAAACTGTAAGATTAAAATGCGGTAAACCCTAATCAAATTTACCTTTATTTTAATGGTAGAAACTAAAAATGTAATAATATACAACTTTGATATTTTTTATTTATTTGGGACACTCTGTATCTTGCAAAAATATTTTTAAATTGTAGCTCTAATGGTCCTTCGACGAACCCAAAATTTACAATTTGCAAAAATCTAATCGTTTAGCTACAATACTCCTTGTCGTATGTGGCCAACCACCCTGTATATTCTATTGAAATATTTCATTATATCAAACACTCCGAATTACGGCGTATAATGATGAAATTGCTGTCTGTATGCCTTTAGAATTTGTTCAGTGTTTACGAGCTGACGCATAGGTTTCACGTCTCGAGTATCGTGCGAATAGCGGCCATATATGTGTACTATAAAATTTCGTGGCGCTAAAACGCAAGAGTGAAGTGCCGGCTCTTTTATTTATATACACAATTTTTCTAGACGTGTGCAGGATTCTCAAAAGTCGGAAGAACGGGGCTTAATTTTTTACGATTCCCTGCAATACTGCCAGTGGCGTATCGCAAAAGAAAATCGAACAAAATATTAATAATATTTCAGCTTGTATCATACAGTCTCTCAGGGCTTTGACAAAAGCCAGTATCTGAGATGGTTTTATAGAGGTTAGTTCTCCATCCAGTTTATGACACGAATGGTTCTCTTCTTGGAGCACTCAGTGATAATGTGTTTCTTAGCTTTAATCCACTGAAGTGTTTTTTGAGGAGACAGTGTCCTGTTAAAAACCCAGTGCCAATCGAAAATAGTTCTTACTTTATCTTTATTATAATAGGAGAATAGTCAATTCTGGTAATGATTTGAGAAACAAAGCTTCTTCGTCTAGCAATATCTCTACCTCACCTGAGAACCTTAACGATTACTTTGTAAATGTAGCGAAAAACTTAACTAATACAATATGTCCTTCTCATGATCCACTTTCATATCTCTCTAATGATTGTGTAAACTTACACAGTTTCTTTCTTTCGCCCGTAGTTTTAGAAGAGCTTCGCAGTACAATTAATACCATCAAAAATAAATCCTCATCTGGGACCGACGGGCTAACTTTAAAAATGTTTTCGAATCTGCTAGAAAGCACTCTGAATCACCTAACTACTTTAACAAACATGTCATTCTAAAATGGTATTTTTCCAAAATGTCTTAAGACGGCAATAATAATTCCTCTGCATAAAGGAGGAGACAAAGATGAAGCTTCTAACTATCGCCCAATTGCACTCCTTCCAACGCTATCTAAGATCATAGAAAGGTTGGTTAAAGGAAGGCTGGTATCTTTTCTGTTTAAGTACAAAATACTTACTGAACATCAGTTTGGATTTCTAAGCAACAAGTCCACAAATGACGTTATGTTTTCCCTCCTTAATAAAGTTTACTCCAGCCTAAATAACCATCATTCTACAGCAACAATTTTCTGTGATTTTTCTAAGGCGTTCGACTGTGTAAATCATAAGATCCTAATTAATAAACTGCAGCACTATGGGTTCAGGGGAACATCTCTCGAATGGTTTAAGTCGTATCTGAGCAACAGAAGTCACCTTGTGAGGGTGGATACCACGTTGTCTTCTAGCAAGCCAATAGAATGTGGAGTACCACAAGACTCAGTACTAGGCCCCATTTTGTTTCTTCTTTTTATTAACGACATTGCTAACATAAACATCAGTGCCAAAATATGTCTTTTGGCCGACGACTCTAGCT